AGTTATGTTTGGGATTTAGAAATAATTCAGTGACTCATAAAAAGCTGGATGAAAGAAATGAGCAAAGATGACAAAAATTTGTAGGTTTTTAATGGTGTAAGTCAATAGTATCTTGTTTCAGCAGAATTCTTCATGACTCTCCTTTCTGGCACCTGCTGAGGCAGGCATGGGCTGCAGAAGCAAAAGTTGCTTATTGGAGGCATTCTTACATAATGCCTAGATAAAGCTTTAGCTTCAGCCTCTTACTCGTAGAGTATAACTTCAAGCCTTTAGCATTCTCTTCAAATAAAGCATTATATAGCTTGCACTTAAAGAAATGATTGGTAAGAGATCCTCGCCGTTTCCTGTTGAAGTTGATAGGGAAGCAAGCTAGAACATCTGTGGAAGAAGTATTTGAAGGAAATGTCTGATTATACATGAAGACAGAACTCCAGCCTTGGAAAGGAACTGTAATGAAGACAAACCAAGCAGAAGCCCATACTGTGAAACCTGTATTATTTATATGAAGGGTATTTTATCAAGTGTGCTTTCCCTTTTTACAGGAAGAAAATGGAATCTTGATAGCAGTTGTCAAGTTGAATGAATATGACCTTGCTTTCTTCACATTATTGTAAGGGCGTCTATGGGTTCTTACAAGTAACACTTGTGGAGTTCTACAGGTGTGACCTGCATCAGCTGTTAATAGGAAACACTGTTGGTGTAGCAAGAGAATATTAGTTAGCAGTCACTCTGACACTGTTTTTTGAAGGTTAACTCAAGTAAAATCTGATTTCTGCACAAGTCAGCAGCTGTGTTAATAGAGATGGTACTGTTTGACGGTAATTTTCCAAGTAGAGCTGCACTCTGGTTCATATGCTTCCATTCTGCGCAAAAGAACATTAATTCAAGTCCCTTGGTGATCTGGCAGTTGACATTTTTTTAACCTATCCCATGTCCCTGCCAGTGATCCAGTAGATTGAATTAGCCAGGAAGCAGGGTTAGAAAATGAAGTGCAAAACAAAGCATGTTTATCCTTCCTTTATTTTTTCACACTGCATAATGTGAATATGTTGAAAAACTAAGAAGATTACGTTTTGGAGAAGTCCCATTTGAGCTAGTGTTAGAGGACTTTGTTAATGTAAGGTGTTTTACACAAAAGCACCTGGGGGGAAATTGACTGAATGGGCTACATGGGGTTTTGTGAAATGATAATAAATTTCCTGATAGTTTATGGCAGCACTATTTTGCCGTATCCTTCTGCATAACAACAGTAAAACAATTTAAAAGTTAACAAAATACAGTTAAATTCTAGTTTCAAGCTTCTCTTATGCAAAGAGTTTGGAGGACACATACAGCCATAAACTCACTGTAGGAGAAAAAATCTGTATCACACATCATTAATAATTCATTAGTAATTATTTCTTTCCCACAGCTGACATCTTCCTGAAGAAAGTAGCACTTATTTTTTAATACACAGTCTGGAAACTCACATGAGTAACAAATACTTCTCCACCTTAAAACTGTCAGATTTACTTGAAAATACATTTTAATTACCATTAGCACTTCCAAGTTTAGTGCTGGCAACAGCCAGCTTGTTAATTCCAGCAGTAAAGCATCTGAAGTCATGACCAATTTTCCTTCATGCTTTAATAAACTGGTTGATTAAATATAAGTTTGTTGCTGGAAGTGAAGCAAATGTTGTTTGTTCACTGGAAAGAAATACTGCGTGGCTAGGGCCAAAATGTACATGTGCAAGATGGAGCAAAGTGATCAAGAAACAGTAAGGCCCTGGAGACCTTGACTATTGTCTTGCCTCTGCCGCTAATTTATCATTAACAAGAGATTTCCGCTTGCGGTGCTGTTTGCCTCTGCCACTTTTGATTGCTTGATGTATTTAAATGACAACTTCTTCAAGCCAGGATGTGTCTTCTAATTGGTTCCTGTTACATGCCACCATAAAGTGATTGCAGTCTTGTTTGAAACAGTTACAAGCCTAATTGTTAGTAAATTGTAAACACTTAACTAAAGACATTTTGATTTAAAAATACTCAAAATCCTTTTTTTGCATATATTTAAACATTTTCTATGGGGTATGATGGTTCTCGGGTGCATTCCAGCATTGCATTTGGATGAGAGGGTGGACTGCTGCTGAAGCTAAATGAAGATCTGGAAGCAGATTGACAGCACTCATGGAAAAAAGCTAGACAATTAAGAAAAATCATTTAGCAAAATTATAGTGTAGTTGATACCACAAGTAAATAAGATTTTATTATTAGTGGTGTGCTTAGATTGCATTGGAAGTTCATATTGAAACTGTATTAGGGAAATTAAACCCCAGACAGCTCTGCAGCTGTATAAATAGTTACTGTTGCCTCATACGGGAAAGAGAATGAATAACTTTTCTGTGTATTCATAAAACATCCTATATGTTATGATATCCAAGAAAAAGTTACCGGTCGAACAGCATTGTAAAGGCAAATTACAATTCTGTGTTCAGATATAGGTGAAACAATGATTTTTTTTTTACCTTGGTCTTTCTCCATAACTTTCATTAAGATGCATGTACTATGAAAGTGAGATCCAACCAGATGTGCTGTGCCAGAAGCAGTTACTGGGAGCAATAAATTTGCTTCAGCCTTCTAAGCTTCTCGGACAAGTGCATGCTTGATGCTGGAGGCTGTAGGTGGTGGGAACACTCAAGTGCAGGCTTCCCCATTGCATGCCCAGAATAGATTTTTCTGTGGTTCTAAAGTCATCCAGATGTTGTCTTAATCTATCTACAATAGCTACATGTATCTCCTCATATATCTCTACATGTCTTAAAGACATATGTACATATCCTATATAACTATATATATAATCATCTATAATAGTATGACAGCAAATTCAAAGACTTCATGCCCACCCCAACTGGAGGAGCGTCTCTTTAGGCTATAGGAAGAGGCACCTTTTGGGTTATATGGTCGTGTCAGGCCCTTTACCAGGATGTATCAATAGCTTGAGAGTGGAGGGACAAATTGGCCTCTTGGTAAAATGTATAATGGCAACCAGTGTTTGTTACTCTATAACAGCCACATTGTTACTTTATAGTACGGAATTCCAGTTTTTAGCAGAGGATGCAGGCGTGACTGCATATGTAAAATGAGAAGCGTGCAAGTAGATATGACACAGAGCAAAAAGTAATTTTCATTATATTTATTTCATATATAACGTGAGGTATGGAAAGATTAAGAGTCTAGAATAAAGACTCAGTAGCAAAAACTGATGTGAAGATTAAACAGTAGTTGATCCTTCAGTAAGAAGTAACTTTGACACCAGCCCCAGTTCCCTTGTTAAATATGTTTAGAGAAAAAGTTCACGCTTAAAGTACTTTGTGAATTTCATTACACTCAGAAAAATCTTGTATCAGCTGAAGGCTTGAGGTTTTGGGGTTGAGCTCCATCTGGAAGGAAACGGTGAAGTCCTCGGCTCTTCCATGAAGAGAACTGGGACTTTACAGATTCCTTAGTAATGGAAATGGTGAACAAATAATCTGATTTTGGAGACACAGGGCACTGAGGGTGCTAAGTTATATGGCTATGGAAACAACTGGACAAATACATAGAAGAAAAAATTGTCAAGGGCCATTAAATTCAAAAAGCATCTTCTCTGGTCTTGGGAACTACCAAGCTGCAAACTTGGTGAACTAGGGAAATATTTCTGAGGAAATCTCTCCTCCATCTGTCTAGTTTTACTCTTCATCTGTTGCTGGCCACATTTGGAGGAGAGTGGGCCGATCCATGATGGTTGTTTCTACATTGTTAACCACACAACCATCCCCGCCAGAGCATTCCTATAACCAAGGTTTATTTGGTTATGCTCTTTCACCACATGAAGTTTTATGTCAGCTAACATTGCAGTTCTGGGCCTGTGCATCTGCTTGCTTATTTTTTTTTTCGAGAGTGGATGCTACCAGACCGTGACAGTAAACCACGACTGCAACTTGTTGCACTGGCATTTCACAGATGACAGCAGCTGGTGACAGACTGATAGGTGAGAAGGGGAGAAAAGAAAAATCAAAGCTGACAAAATATATCTGTATGATCAAAGAGGGGTGTTTTTAGCTGGCTGGGCAATTAAAAACAGGTAGATTCAGACAGCTCATTAGGCCAGGTTAATTCAAGCATACCAAGGCCCTGGAGCTTCTTGCCTTCTCTCCTAAAAGTAAACCACAGCCTTCTTACAGGACTTAACATGCTCTCAATGAGATGCAGAAAAGAAAGGAGAGGGAAAAAAAACAGATAAATTTGCACAACTGCAGTCACCTGTACTGATAATGACTTGGGTCACTGGAAAGATCCAGCCCTAAGAGAAAAATGTCTTTAAAGTCTTCTGCTTTAACGACAATTTACCTTTAGCTCTGGAATGATATGTACTGCCATTTAGAATTGGTAACTGAATTCTGTGGGTTAGGAAAAACAGTGATGGCTGCAGAAAACTTGTGATCTTTTATCAGAAAATAAACCCTTTCTACAGACCACAGCTGTTGTCAGGGTACAAGTGTAAAGTTTGGCCGATTTTGTGTCTAAACCACTATCTAAGTAAGTAAAGAGAAATGGGCAACATTCCAGGCATAGCTGGTGATGAGTGGCTTGGGATGACCCATGCTGAGAAATTATTTTATCTCAGAAATTCTAGGCTGAAAACAGCTGCTGTGTTGGAGAGGCTGGAGGCCTCGTCACACCTGGGCTCATGAGAGCTGCCTTTGGTAGGTCCAGGCTCCTCAAAGAGACATTACCTCCAGGCATTGTGCACATACCTTTGCTGCTCTCCTTCCCTCTGTCTATCCCTGGCATGGCACCTGCTGTCTCTGAGGGAAAGTGGCACTCAGATTTTGGCCTGCTTCTCTCCAGCACCTCCATCAAAGCAGCTGAGCATACTGTTGAAATGTGACTTGGGACAAAAGGAATTCCCTTGTGTTTCTAGTATTTTAAATGTCACGGTGAGGAGAAAGCTCACTAGACATGGTATAGATCCTCTTTCCTCACAACAGGAGTAGAGTTTGTTCTGCACTTCCAAGAGCCACCTGGTCCCAGATTCTGCACAAAAAGCTTAGAAGCCCAGCAAGAGACATCAAAGGTAAACACTGTGTCTTACAAGGTGTTTGAAGATGCCTTCTTTAAAGCCACTAGTTGCCAGTGACATTTACTGCACTTTCTCTTTACTTCACTCTCGCATAATTTTGGCTTTGATTACACCTCTGCAGAAAGAGAAGTGAACTTTTGTTAGAGGCATTATAGACAATTTACAGTACCATATTCGAATATATTTTTGAGGCAGTTCATCAAGCAACAATTCATTTAGCAGTCTGGAAAAATTACAAGTAATTGGATCCTTAGTGTTGATTAGTAGCTGATATTCTGTCTAAAATTAATCCTCAGGATGATACAGGAGGTCTCAGCTGGGAATTTAGCTGCTTGAAATTTGAGTATTATTTGGACCTAAATTAAAGTGTTTTCGCAAAAACTGAGAAACTAATACATCTTCTTGTCAAGCCGAGGTGTTAGAAGTAATTCAGGTGCTTTGACTGCAGGCCAAATCAAAGCACTTTACAAAGGAATCATGCAGCATTAGTTGCAGAACATGCATAGTGTTCAGCAACTTAAAGGGCAAATGTATTCATGAGGACATGTAATATTATGCATGTTTGGCAAATGAATATGAAGAAAGTATCTGTTAGAGGGGGATCAGAATACTGAAAAAAAAACCTGTGGCTCACGTTCAGGTGGGCAGCTTGGATGTTATTCCAATGCCAGATTTCTGCAAGGAAGTTTCAAGAATTCTCAAGAAAACTAAAGGGTATACTTCAGCCTTGAGAATTCAAATAGGTGCTGTTGCTGCCATATGGCAGAGCTGCTTTCAAAGCAAATACAGGGTTTTTGCTCTTCTGAAAGACCAGATGGCAAAGAGCTTGGTATCTAGAAGCTGCCTCACCTAGGTCATCAGTAGCAGTCAATTGTATGGGACAAAAAGTAATTTTAATCTGGTAGCTTTTCAGTAGTTTATCTAAACCACAAATAATGTATGCCTTTATTTCCCAAATAGACAAAATTTTATAGTAAGATCCTCATGATTTATTATACTTGTTCTTGTGCGATATTGACAAGTCATAATTTGATGCACCAGAAATGTGAATTATCCCTTTAAGAAGTGATCCCTTCATCTTAAAGGACTTATCAGTAACTTGTGTATTGTGCAAACCTTCCTGAGATGTAGGAAAACCCAGACTCTAGCACCGCTGGCCAAACGCCTTCTGAAAGCATTACAACTACTTAAAGCAGGTACTTTTTGCATTGTTAGAGCAGGTGAGAAAGAATTGCAACATAGGATATCACCCAAACCTGATCATAAATGCTGTATTTGTGATTTGTCTCCTAATGAAGGCTCCAGAACAAGCTCCCACAGAAATTGCATGACAAGATGTGACCAGACCTCAGTGAAGTTGTTAAAGTGTGTCTACATTTGTACTTTAGTTCAGAGCAGTAGTGGAGTAAGTTCCCCAGCTGTCCCCATTTACTGTGTGTTGGTGTGCGTTACAGTGAGCTGTCAATATACAGAATCTGAATTTCTTTTGGATGAAGATCTGCTCCAGATGCCCACCTAAAGAACACCAAGACCTCATTGGGAATAGAAGGCTCCAAACCAGCAGGTTAATGCACTGCCATGAAATTTTATGGCATGTGTGGAAAGTGCATGCACCAGTAAAGTGCTCTTCAACCAGGTTGAGTCATCTTGTGATAACCCTGAATCCTCCTTGTGCTGTGTAAAGGCATTTGCACCTTCAGAGTTCCTGTCAGCTACCAGACCTCAGCTCTGGGAATGGGTCTTCTTTATCCCTCTGAGGCATCCCCTCTAGATTTTCATCAATATAAAAAAAAGAGGAGAAATTAAATCAATAGCAGACACAGTCATTCTAAAAATCATCAGTTCAAAATTTCAATTATTTTTTCCTTCTTGAAACAAAGCATGTTTTCTGGGGTTTCCTTTTCAGTTATGGATTAGGCTTTCCTGGTTTGGCCATTTGACATGAGAAATAATTATGCAAGGACAAAAAAGAAAAACATTGAACATGGGAAACAAACAATCTTAATCTTTTTCTGACTAAAACAAAAGCATCTGATCTAATCTGCTTCTGACAATCTTAGTTGCTGACTTTCCTTTTGTTTAATTTAATTTCTCTCAGTTCTTCACACAGCCACATCTTACCTCTTGGAGAAGTTTCAGGACTTCCTGTCTCGTTGTCCTACTTGAAAACCACACAGATAGTAAATAATTTTGTGCAAGAACTGGGGATGGAGCAATTTTTTATCAGTTCTTAGCAGGCCTTTGTGATTGCCATGGTACAGCAGTCATGTCAGTGCTCATGTTGCCGGGTGGCCACATTACTACAAAAGCTAACTAGGGTTAGGGGCTCCCACTGGAAAAAGCACACTTATTACATTGCTATTGACAGATTAAGTATGATTACTAATATTACAACTAACCAGAATACAGAGAAAAAAAATCTGACAGGGTAAACCCAACACTTGGGCCTTTTACTTAGCAGTCATTTAGAAAGAGAAATGTTAATCATGTGCCTCTGAGGAAGAGTTTTACCAATTCTTTGGTTTCACTTTTATTTTTACTTTACCCATGACAATGTATCTTTAGTTTTTTCATTCTTATTTTCCCCGTTATTTCCTGTAACTTTATTTTCTGACAATCTATTTATAAATTTAATCAAACACACATAAATAGTTACTGTGGATAATGCAGTTCAACCTCATCAAGAAACTGCAGGAAATAGTAACATTGTAGTGCACCAGGGTGGAAAGACTTTCTCTGCTGTTCTGTATAGCTGCTTCTCTGAAATCATTCTTATTATCCAAAAGTACATGTTAAAATATCATATCAATTTATTATATGTCACACTGGCAATTAACCTGCTTACATCTTTAAATTCAACCTTGTACTCAGACTAAGCTCTGCATCTAAATTAACCATCTTTAGGCCTCTCAGCAGCCATTCTGCTTCCTTTAATTCATAATACTTTATTCTGAAACGTCAATAACACTTTATCCGAGAATTTTCAATTCTCTGAATTGTGTCTAAAATAATACTTGTAATACAATAATACTTGTAAGTTATTTTTTTTTCTGGCTTTACAAAGTGATTTAATACACTGTATTTAAGCTTCATATAATACTTTGTGTATTTACCATATAAACACTTGATAAAAGCCCCAGATTTTGGTCATTTGATACAGATTTTCTGTAGAAAGTAGAAATGGTGTTCAACATTGTGTTATGTGGGTCAGGCACAAACGAAGAGTACAAGGTCTTATCATGAGAGGGATAACACTAGCTGAAGCTGTAGGACAGAGCAACAGTTGAGGCCACTTACTCCCCGATGTTATGACCTTTGTCAGTGTTGTTTAACCTTTCCAGCCAATGATATAAGTACATTTACACCATCACTCCCTGTGAACCTGCTTTCCTGAAAAGGCATGTCTGGCCAAAGGGGCATGCTTTGAGATGTTCTGGCCTGCTGGTTTCAAAGGTTTTGGAGTCTGTACCAAAGGCTATGTTGCAGATGCTTCACCTATGATGGTATTGTCCAGGCAGTCATGCAAAATATCTTTTTATGCAGATGAATTTGCTGGAGGGAGGCCTACAGGATGCCTGCAATTGCTGAGATCAAAAGCCTATCTAAAATGTGGTCCAGGAAAGGATGCATGACTCTGCTAAGATGGAGGAACATGCTATAGCTACAGCACAGCCTGAAACTGGTGTGGCTCCAGGGAAGTCAGTGCCAACCGAATCAGGGCAGAGAGGCATGGAGATGCAGTCATCATCTGTATGTGCAACATTTGCATTGTTAGTGACACAGAAGGCTACTATGACTTGGTGGACTGACGAAATATCTAATTCCCTGGGATTCAGGCTGTGAGGCAAAAGTGACCATCGAATACTATCTCTTCCTTCAAGGGAAATAACAGGGGTAAGACTGCTGAGTTACTGACTGTCCTTCCTGGCTCTGTCCAATTAAAGTCTCATTTGTGGTACTGTTATTATTAGATTATTATTTTTTCCCCATTTCATGTAGGTTTTGGGGTCATCAGGGTGTTCAAGTAAAATATTAGAAGACAAATCTGAAGTATACCTCTCAGTAAACAGTACAGGTGCATTAGTCGTTCAAATTTTTCAAAATAGACAGGGAGACGACAATCTTTTACAGAAGTCAAATATATGGTCAAGAGTGTCTGTAAATTAGCAGCCATTCATCTTTATTCTTCAGTGCACTGTGCTATGTTCTACATAAAATTAGACTTCCCTTTCAGAGGCATCCAGCCATTTGATTTACTTTATAAAATGGTTTCAAGGAGACAAAAATTACAAAGCTTTACCATACTTTTTTTTCAATCAAGGGCAAAAAGCATTATTTTGGAGTTTATAATATCTATTTCATGTATATATATTGCTCTGGTTGGGTCTGAGAAGAAAAGGTCTCTATAAATCAACAATAAAAGAGTGACATTTAGAAACTGCAAATCTGAAAGAGAAATATGTTGCTGTTCCATTAAGGACCAATACTAGCTGCCAGCTCCTGCAAAAACTGGAAGATTGCCACTCCACACCCTTAGTGTCATACAAGCATTGAAACAACTTATACTGCTGCTAGAAAGATCACTGAAAGTGTCTCTTCTGTCTGTATTTAACTGTGTACATGACCACCAAGACCTTAGGCACTAATCCCTTGAGACCCTTTAGAAATACAAAAGAGATATCAAAGGTAAAAACTGAAAGGACTGAACAAATCATATAGATGAAGCTTGCCCAAATAAATTAGGAAGTCCAGTCCTGAACCAAGTGGAAAAATTTCCATAATGCAGAGGTTAATTGAGTCTTTACATTCACCTGCTTTCATCTGGCCTGGCAATAATTGTCCTTTTCAGTTAGCTGTGCATTCAAACTATAAAAGATACTCATGGCTTTGTAATGACATAGTATTCTTCTCAATGTGAGCTATATCCTTTGAGCATTTGGTAAATTTCCGTTTCATTTTTATCATATTGGGCATCTCCTTTATGTAATGGACATGGAGCAACTTGTATTCTGCAATTATATAGATGGCTACATAGAGCAAAATTAAACAGGCAGCAAAATAATCTTTTGCTGCTCTCCCTCTCCTGTTCTCTGTTCCCCATGGTGCTTGAGAAAATTCTTCAAAACCAAATATTTCCTTGGGTTTTGCTGCTGATCAGACTGTTCCTATCTAAGGAATCCAAACTTGACAGCTGCTTTTGGTGCCATCCCTTCATTTGCTCTCTTGGCAATCTGTTCTGCCTTGTAATATCCTGTGGAAGAAAGAAGGAAGGAAACGAGGGATTACTCATGACTGTGGGCTAGAAAAGCAATAGCAATTGTGAAGTGCTTTTGCATGATCGATTTATTAGGCACTTCTGGTAGCAGTTTTAACTTGATTGAAAGTCTGCTTGGGTCAGGTTTTCTCCCACCCAGTCTTGTGAGACTCTTCTGAAGACAAAAAGGGTGCAGAGACATGATTCTGATTAGAGAGGAGCCCTTTCTTTCTTGACTGCGTTTCTTCCACCCTCCCTCAATCCTTACACACAAAAGTGTGCTTCGAAAAATAATTGTACATTGAGGTTACAGAAATCTCTTGTTCACCGCATTTTCCTTCTCACTAGCACTGGCCACAATGATAATTCTGTTTAATGACAAATGCAGAGATTTTGATCCTAAAGTGAAGTCAAAAGGGAAGAAATCTGGAGATATGTTTGGAGTAATGTGGGGGAACAGCAAGAGGTGATCATTAGTGCTATCTGAGCACTATTATTGACATTGAAACCAGAGAAGTCTCTTGGATATCCTATTTAGAATTCATAACAAAATAACTTAGCTCTTGCATATAGGAGGGAAGAAGGGGACATGCCTTCTCTCAGCATGTGATATTGATTGCATACCATCTGCTCCTGGTCCTAGCCTCACACTAACCACCCTGAGACCCATCAGTCTTCTGCTCTCCCCAGTGAAATCTTCTCCTCAGATTTTGGTGAAAAGGTTCTTCTCATTTCTGGTTGTTCCTGATGTAATTTATTCCATGCCATATTCTTCTCTGGCACTGGCATGAATGTTGCCAGGTTATTTCTTTGTCATCAGGAAACACAGTCAGTCTTATAAAATCTCAGGCCAACATCCTATTTGCTATTTTTAGCACTGCTATAAAAGAAAAGCACAGAGGAGTTGGTGCTGTCACTTCTGTGAGATTCATGCATGGTCACCAGTTTAGCAACTTTATTTTTACCTACCCAGGGAATCACATGAAATCATGATCAAATCATTTTTGCTGCCTCTCTCTTATTTAGAGATGAGAGCTCTGTGCTGCAACAGATGTACCAGAAGGAGAGGAAAGAGGGAAGGACAGGTGTGTGCTAAAGGACACAGCCTCATGGGCAATGCTTTATACATTACTTCTCATCCTCAGCTGCCCAAGTGCCCTTCCCCTTCATGATGCTGGGTGCAGATCTGCCCAAATAAAGTTCATTGTTAGTGGAACCATGCCCAATTTCCACTTTCATGGAGGCTGCTGTGGCTCTGTTTGGTACTGAGGCAAAATAAAGAGCCCTTGAAGTGTGTGTGAATGTAAATGACACTCTTTAAGGCTTTTTTACACTGTGTAAATGGGCTTATGGGTAAACATGAACGAGAGGTAGCTGGTTTCAAACAAATATGGTATAATCTGCAGTAGTGGAAAGTGAAAACTCCTTCCACTGATTTTTATTGCCTAGGCTCAGAGTAGTGGAAAAATGGATGATGAAAGTGAGTGGTTTTGTTTCTTTAATGCTTAATAATTTACAGAAAGATGTGCTTAGTGCGATTCAGGGAAGCTTCTTACTGGTAATACTTCAGGCTACCTATCCTTCTGGCCTCCAGACCATCGTTTTATAATGTGAGTTCAACAACTAAGGCTGTAGGCACAAATTCTGCTCAAAATGAAAATGCTTCCTTTCCAGGATGAGAAGTTAAGCCAGACAGTGCTGCAGATAAGCCATCTGATCACCGACCTGTGTAGCTTCTGGTATATGAACTCAGGACTCACTTTCCATCCCCAGCAGCAGCAGCACTCCCTCAGGCATTCCCAGAGTAACAGCCTAACGCAAGCTGCCTGTTTCTCTTAGGAGTAGCCACAACTCTCCAGCAGTGTGTCCTCAGCATCTTTCCCCTGGCTGGGATATTCAGCAACTTGGTAGTGTTGCATCTTATACACTTGGTATTTCCAAGCAGGTTTGTCTGTGTGCTGACCTTGGTAATGTTTCTGTGGATGCCTCTGGCATGGTACTGCTCCCCACTGGGGGGGGGGGGGGGGCTGTCCTCATCCTTGTTCCTGGGTCCGCACTCATTTATAAGCCCATGGTTTTAGAAGCATCTCTTGTAACAGAGACTCTTTTCAACTCAAATTTTCTTTCTGCATTTTTGCTATAAAACTTTGATACCATGGTGCATGGACATTGTTGCTGTCATTGTTGTGTCCCTCCTGTGCGTGTTCTTTCTCAGAGCATCTTCCCACTGAGGTATTTTGTGAAAACTGTTTGAGTTGTTAGTGTGACTGTTCCAGTTCAGTGATAAATCACACACTTTCTGGGACAGAAAGATCCTTTTCTAAAATATCTCTCTAGGAGATTTCTTTTTATCTGTATTAAGTAGCTGTGAGTAGCATTTACTTTTTCCCTAGCTCAAAGACAGCTAACTTCTGTCAGCTTTTTTGTTTAACTATTTCACTTTGGTTTGGATGGATCCTAACTTTGCTTCCTCAGAGTTCGCTTTTTAATGTCCTCTTCCAGTATTCTGTTGTTCCTAGCTTTGTGCATGGAAATGAAATTCCAAATAAAAGTAATCTGGGCTCCAGATGATGCATTTTCAGATCAGTCTGAAAGTTCCATCTCTGCAGATTTTCTTCTAAAACCTCTCTGTATCTTTGCCAAATTAGCTTCCTTCGCAGTGTCTTTACAGGCTTTATCTGTCACTAAGTCCTTCTGCTTATCTGGTTCAGCAGTTCTGACCTCAAAATACTGTACTGTACTTCCCGTCCATAAGCTCTACCTACAAAACCAGTCAAACATATAGCACCTTGCCTGGAAAACTAAATAGCTGTACAAACTGAAAATGGGTTTACACCTACACAATTAAACTGAATGCTTTTTAGCTCACCCTGTATCCTTGACAGAACTAGGTTTGAGGCAAACATTTGGAAGCAGTGTGGTAATTCAGGAGATGTAAAATTCCATTTCCCAAGTAAATCCACATCCCACCAGCTCCTTAATTCCTAAATTGCTTTTGAGAACTGGCTTGAAGTCTCCCAAGCCATCTGTTGGACATCTCCACTGGACCCTATGCACATTATTGTCTAGAGATCCCAAGCTGTTTCAGAGACTGTTGAGGGAAAAAGTTTATACACTCTGGTCTTTATCTTGACTGATGTAGGAGATCGAATGCAGGAAGGCCCTGTTTGAAAGTAAATAGCCTTTCTGGGAGAGCAGAACTAGTGATGTCTATCCATGGGAAAAGCAGCTCTTTTTTCCTCTTTCAGACATTCATCATTTCACCAGTCATATTAGTAACAATCTATGCAACTTTTTTATTCCTTCAGTTTAATTGTTGAAATACATACTTATTCCAAATGGAGATTCATGAGATCATTGCCTTTTTATTTATCCATCAAATATATCCAAAGGTGTTCAGTTACATAATGAAATAAGGCTTTTTGTGTGGCTGACTCCCACTTTTCAGCTGTGACATCTTGAGGAGTGTAATCTTCTAATCGAGGATGACAGGCATCCAGCAGAATTATCTATTTTAATTATCATTATTTTATGATAAAATCATTAATTTATGATTTTCTTTGAACAGGTAATTTCTGCTGATTGATCTCCATTGGTATCCTCAGGCATCTGTTGAAACATAGGTAGTCGCCACTTTTTTGTTTTACTTGTCATGAAAACATCTTCATTTGGGTACTTTCCCAGTCACAGAAAAGAAGCTGAATATAGGAAGGTACATGCGAATTTTCTAGTTTGTCCTGGGAGGAAACAAAATGTCCCTCCTGCCACCAGCCTGGTTTTTAAATTCTATACCATTTTCCACCTAAATGACTGCAGTGAGTTCAGGGCAGTACACCTAATCCAAAACCAAACATAACTTTGTCTACTAATACATCTACTCACATGTCTCCTCACATAATAAGGTTAGCTTGCTCCCACTGATCCTAGTTATTTTATTTAGCTGATCCTCTCACCTATTAGCTGCTGAATATTCTGCCTGGCATTTTGATTCACTAACACTGAATCAGTAAAGAAAGGGGGAGGTAAGATTAAGGGGGAAGGGACAGATTTTCAGCTGCATCAATGCTCTTAAAGACAGCAGTAAGTAACCCTCCTGATGTGAGTTCTGGGTGGCTTTCGTGCCCTCTGGTTTAGGGGGTCCAGAACAGCTGAACTAAGAGAGAAATCCAAGGGTGTTTCTGAAGGACATTGGCTTTCTGCATCGCCCTGCCCTTCTGTCAGCACAGAAGTGGGCAGAGAGTCAGTTCTGGGCTGCAGCTGCAAGGCACCCTAAATTAGGCACTGAATGAAGGAGAAGGTGGTTGGTGATGCCAGCACTCCACATGCTGTGCTGGGGGAGTCACTGGAAGAGCCCATTCTCTGCACAGGTGACATCCTGGAAGGTTACACTGGGAGCTCTTAGACACAGGGAAGCTCTTTCTTTATGAAGACTAATCCTAAATTTCCTTCCCCCAGGGCTAGAATTTAAAGAAACTCATGTATACACAAATTAATTAGGCTGCTGAAGAAGACACAAGAATGGAAAATAGATACCAGTGTGTGCTCTATCCCTCTTCTTGAGCTTTTCCATTTTCCTTGCTAGAGGATGGTGGCAGCTGGCTGGAAGGGCAGGCAGGGGGTGAGCACTGGTGGACCCCCCTACACAGGTACAGGCCTACTATAACCATATCATTTTAAATATATACTGATGGACATAAACCTTAGTCTAAGATTATTTATTCAATTACATCCTTTTCTTGTTCCCATGAAACAATACAATGCAATTGAGTATGTAGCCAAGAAACTAAAACCACACTCTCAGAGAAGAAATATTGAAAAACTCCACAATTAACTTTTAAAGTTTACACAAAACTAAAAGTATTGTTACTGTCAGATGTAGCCCCAGTGCAATGCTTGATATGTTTACTAGCAACATGCTACAAATAATGGAGCAGTCAGCAGGGAGGAACTGTAGTACACAAGAAGAAAATGAACTAGACCTCCCTCCTCAGCATTATAGAAATGCATGTTGCAATATGTCAGCTGGGGATTTTTGTCCCCACCCAGTCACAAAGCAAAGTCTTCCTCTTTGTTTTCTAGGAGTAGTCCTCTGTCTGTGAAAGACTTCACTTCGCTGCATTGCTGAAGGAAACCAGCAGACCCTGAACAATACTCACTGATTAGCTTCTTATTTGGAAATGTTTTTATGTCTTTGACATTTGCCTGAATTTCTGCTCTGAACAACAATAAAATTAACTGGACAAGAAAGAATGGTCAACATTCAAGCCACATATTTATGCAAGCAAGGTGGTGACTGAAAGATTCCCCTGAGGAATTATTGAGCATGATCCCAAATAAGTACAACAAAGTGATACAATACAACCCTGGCAAAGAGCACCCTACCTGAGCTGTGTGGATGAACAAGTAGATATCTAATAAGAAAGCAAAACTGTGATCTGTGTAATTTCGATATGCAATGTTACCCATTATCCTAACAGTTGTAGTTTAGTATTCCTCTTGTTTATTTCAATTAGCCTAACCAGTGAATAGGTGGGTCAAAGCCCCAAAAAGTTGGACCCACAGGTCTGTTCAAAATCCTACCCATACTGATTATGTTCTTCACACTCTTTTTTGTACAGAACAGCATTTGTGATGTTCAATGTGAATCACAAGTATGGAAGCAGCTAGCCTGTTAATTACAATTGGACAAAGTCACCATTCCCGTCATAATCTAACTTCTTTCTTAATATGGTTACACTACCCACTGGTCAAGTACTAACATGAATCCACCGTCCAAGCAAGTGCAACACATTGGGGAGTGGAGAGGAGAAGGAGAAAGGAGGCAAGGGGAGAAGTTTTGCAACAAAAGCCAGGGTTGAAGCAATTTATGATTTAGCTCGCTCATGGTATGCCTTGTCTCTAAAGTAAATGCTTTCTGTACACTCAGACTAACAGGCACCTGCCTCAGGCGTCAGCCTATATGGGCATTCAGCTATGTCACCTCCATCAAAAGACTTTCTCATTAGTTTGTTGATCCCTGTTGGCTCATGTTCTGACCACACAGCTGTCAGCAAGGGAAGTGCAGGCATCTTGTAAGAGGTTTTAGGAGTTTAGTGTGGTTTTGCTCTGAAGAACATGTGTAAATTATAACAAGCAGTTATTAGCATTTTCAGGATCCAAAAAGTGAATTTTTATATAAAAATTCTAATACAGTCCAGTAACTCAATAGACACAAACCCTTATGTTCTGTACTAGCAGTTTTCCTTTGCCTTCTGTGTGTGTACCCGTGTTTTAACTTTTATTCTGCACATACACACACATTCAGATGCATATGCTCACCGATATTTACCATCCACTTTGAAACAGCCATATCAAAGCCTAAAGAACTTTTTAATAGTATGGCTATCCAGATCAGTGACCATTAGAGCATTTTGTGGACAATTCTGATCTCTCAGCATAGAAACATTCCTTCAGAGTTCTACTAGTATCACCTTTGCTAAGCCAAATGAGGATTTTATAAATAATATTCCAATAACATATGACACTAGAAGGTATCTAATATTATGTGGCTTCACAGTTAAACTCCTAGTACAACATGGCTATAGTATGCAGCTGATCACAGTACAGCAAAAAACAAAGATTTCTGCAAAACTGGACATTTTTATCTCCTGTTGGCAATATGATTATGCCTTTTCAATATGCTAATCTGACTCACACAAAGTTAATCTTGCCAAAAGGTTTTAACAAGCCTCTTTAGTCAATTAGAAATATACCCTGCTAGTTCTGCTTAGGTTATGCAAAACCAACCAATACAGGTTTATTAAAACTTTTACTTCAGAGGTGTTTGTTGCAGATTTTTTTATATACAAATTTGCTAAAACTGAAACAGTATAGAAATTATTATTTACTGCCTGAATAGAAGTTTGGGACAACATCTTGCTTAACCTTGTGCATCCCCTAACTGTTCATATGTCTAGCTACTATTTCGACCCTAAATATGTCCATCTGAATCAGAATTTTCCCTTAAAAATCACATTGCTTTAATTTTTTTTCTCATGTCCTCCCATTGTGTGGATGCTCTCCTGCCACTGAATGTTCAGTTCTATTAGTTTCTCTTTTCCTGCCTTTCTGCAGCCAGTTGTTTCTTTCCCTATTCCCATTTACTATGTTGGATATATATATTCCCTACACAGCACCAGAATTAGTTTTGAATAGGAAAAGCAGGGTTTCATATGAAAAGGAAGTGAGGGAGCAGAGATCTGCTTTTATTGTGTCTATTTCTCTTGCAATTTCTACTTTTTTTTTTTTTTTAAAAGAAGGTGCCAGAAAAATCCCAGTAGCAGATTAGTCTATTGAAAAAGAGGTTTGCGAGTCAGCCTGCACCATCATTTGTTAGCTGTCAAGATGGAAAATGCATCTTTGGAGAATCTGAGTGAAGTCTTCCATCAATGACCCAGCACTGGAGGAAGTCTGATCCTTGTCTTCCTTTGAAATCCACAAGCAAAATCATTACAGTGTTTGCCATATATTTTCAATTTCTTTTTCTCCCATCCTCTGATTCTCTAGCTTTCACACTTGCCTTTTTCTCTGACCTCTGCTTCTCTCTTTGATCGTTATCCTCAAACAAATATTTTTCAAGACTCTAATTCCTCGGTGCCTATTGAAGAAAATTCCCTTTGCTTTATTGCCCACTGAAAGTCACATTCCCACTTCCCTATTTAGCTTGGGCTGGGCGAGGGGACAGTCCTATAGATATAAACCTCAGTGGATGTCTTTATTGGAGCAACAAGAATCACCTGCTGAGAAACAGATTTCTTAATGGCTCCACTGGAAATGTGACTGGCCTCTCAGCAGGAAGTCTTATTTATGCTGGTCATGTCTCCAGGATGTACAAATCAGGCCACAGACTTTTGTAAAACCAGTAAGGTTGTTTGGGATCAGATGCTTGCATTTAAAAAGAAACCTTTTGATATTATATACAGAAAACATGCATTCCACTTGAGAATGCATACAGCATTCCCAGTTGTGGCAGAGAGCAAGATTCCTGGTATTGCTTGATTTTGAAGGCTACATTTGAAGTTGCGTATTGATTTCTCTCATTTCCTGTGAATTCCACTCGGATATGCATTACTGCTGAAATTATGTCTACAGGGCAACCTCCATCAAAAATAAGCAGAACCAGCAGCTTGTGTATATGTCACTCTCTTACCTGACATTACAAGAACAAGTGTTTTTAATTTTAGTGTGGTTATTTAGCACAGCAGGGATTACAAAATGTTTTTTGAGTAGAAGTGCTGCTATAAAACAAGCTTCCTATTTCTGGAGTCCAAGTCAATTACTCTTGATGCAATTACAAAGAGAAACATGGGTCCCAGATTAAGCACACAGTGCCTAATAGATACAACATTTTAGTATAATAATGAACATTTCTTTTGGGTTGCAGGACTGTACACCAGTTTATGTTGCGATCATTGACATACACTTAGGGGTACGTTAATCTTAATTAAAAACGTTCCAAAGAATGGTTTGGCTCAATAGAAGCCAAAGGTTGCTGCCATTTCCCAGTAACCTTCCCAGTGTACCAATCAGCTATGGCCTTAGAGAGTACTTACGTTACACACAAGAAGGGATCGCTTACACTATG